ACACACACACACACACACACACACACACACACACACACACACACACACACACACACACACACACACACATATTTTCTGTATATTCGTTGGTTGTTTGTTATTCCTCTCTAGATTATGCCAAGTGCGCTCAAACTCCGTATGATGCATGAAAGCAAACCAGTCGGGCCCCTCCCCGCCTACCCAGGGAGAATAAATCCCTGGCAATTAAAGCAAATGGTAGGTTGACCACACTCTTAACCGATGTAGACCTTAACCTTGGCCTTAAGAAAAGCCGCGACAAGGAAAGAAAGGAGAAGGAAAATGCTGCAACTTTCTTTGATGATGTATTCTTCCCCGGTACATATGATTTCATTCTGAACGAATCTCACACCAATTACCTTCTCTGGAACAACAACCCCGCATCTGTCCAAGTCAAGGAAATTACGTAGAATACTCCCCACAAGGCTCCCAAGAGTGGTGTGCCCGCACGCATTCAGCTCCCCACAGCTGCCGGTGACAGACAACAAGAACAGACGGAAATGTCATTATACACCTTCTTTGAAGATTACAGAGTGCTGTAGCAACATGCATTCAGCTCTCTGCCCCAAAAAAGCACATCCATGAATGCATACGTACATACATAACAGACATACGTACATGCAGACACTCACATATACTTACAGACATACATAGATAACTAAATGAATAGCTTGAAAACGTAACCAAATAACACTGGAAGACCTGTTTCAGATTCCCTTGCAAAGAAAAGAAGGGGTTGTGCAAATATGTACTCAACCTTTTGTTTCCAGTTTCCTGCGAAAACACGGATCAGAGTTTTGCCGCTGGAATGTGTGCCTTGCTGAGATTCCCGCATTCTGCTGAGTTTTGTAAGTCTGTATGTGTGCGTGCTTGCTGGTCTGTGTGCCTGTCTGAGTGCTTGTTGGCCTTAGCATGGCTACCATCTGGATTAGAATAAATAAATTAATTACAAATGCATGCTTTAATCCAGGTTAAATCTGGCAGGTTTGGGGTAAACAAACTTGAGAGGAAAGGACGAGGGATGACAACCCGACATTCAATCCTCCAGAGCTCTGGAGCAATCAATGCTGTTCAGTGGTCCTTCGCCCGAACGGAAGGAAGCGTAAGGGTATTCTTGTTGTACTTCTGACTTGTCCGTGGAATAGTAACCGGACTGATGCTCCCCAGAATGGATATGGAGCCTCGGCCATAAGGACCTGTTTTATCAAAACAAAATGGTAGCAGGGCCTTGGGGGAGGGCTGTTTGTGTGGTTGCCTTGGGTGGTCTGACAAGCATGTGTGTGTGTGTGTGGGTGTGGGTTGTGTGTAGTGTGTGGTCCAGTGATCTCTGGGTCATGTCTCGTGTGCTCACCATGGGATGGGTAGAGGTCTTAGGTCTAGATTAGTCTAGGTAGGAATTTGTGTAGAGATTGTGGGGCTGTCTGTGCACCGCCTCATTTGTGTACACTGCTCCGTGGGTGTGTCTGGGTAATGTGGTAGTTTCCCGGCCTCATGATACACCTGTGGGAGTCCATACTTACACTGTACGATCCTGGTTCTGGTCTGGCTCTGCTCTCTACACCCCCCTTGAGTAGTAGTAAGGGTTGGGTGTTAGGCATATACGATTCCCAAGGGTGGGCCTCATGTCTATCTTACGATGCTTGTGTGCTGGGCTTCATCCGTCCTGACACCTGTCTGCGTTCCCATTGAGGCGGTCGATTGCAGTGTGAATCTGGGGAAGGGTCTCTGGGTAGGGGTCTCATCTTAGGCAGGGGAGGGTGGGTCCTCACATTTATAGTAGAAGGGTGGTAGACACCCATAGAGTCTGCTAGATGTGATACAGGTGGGGAATGACCACATATCCGTGACCCCATCCTGTGACCGGGTCGTCCTCAAGAATTCGGGGTGTCCCTGTGGTAGCGCCCGGGGGGACACTCATCTGAGACCCCCGGAAGGCATGGGTCGGTGTAGGTCTAGGTCTAGAGACAGGTCTGGGTCGCACCGCTGTAGGGCTTGACTTTTGCAATCTGATTAGGATAACCAAAAGGAAAAAGAGTTCACGAATGATGCCCCCTGGAGGAGACTGTCCTCGGGGCTGTCACAAGCCATCTGATCTCCCCACTGGTTGAGTACAATGACAGGCACCCCCGAGGGCTAGCATCCAGCCTCTACTATGATCTGGACTTAAAAAATAAAATAAAATAAAAGGAACTACCAAGGTATTAGTAGAATTCACTCAGGTTCTGGTAGGGTGCAGGACCTAACACCAAGTTACCAAAGAACCTAGAATATCAGGGCTTGGGGTTTAGCAAATTTGGTGGACACAGGCCGAGCTAGCTATACAAGCAATCTGCGCAGATCCGACAGCTTTACAGCTGAGAGGGACAAGCTAGAGAAGGCCCATACATGTGGAAATTCAATCAGCAAAGGGAGGGATAGTAAGCTTGTAGTGCCCCCTCAAGTCCAAGAATACGTCAAACAGGCTAACTTAGGCAAGGGTGAAGGGCAGTGCATCCTTCCTTCGAAAAGTAATCAATGCCATCCTTCGGGCCTTCCTACCATAAGGGGGAGGAGGATGCGGGAGTTTCCATTGTAATTCATTCTGACTTGTCGGTGGAATAGGAACCGGACTGATACCCCCCAGAATGGATAGGGAGCCAGAACCTTAAGGTTCCGATGTTGTTGTTGTTGTTGTTGTTCGTTGTTGGTTGTTTTTTTTTTTAATGCATGCTTTAAAGTTTTAACACAAGTACAACTATTCAACTTTTCTTTTCTTCCATTTCTTCTCAGGGATCCTGGCTGTCCATTGTGCAGATGGATTAGCACCTTGAGCTCAATAGGAGCAGTGGGCACTTACTTTGGCAGAATGAACTCTCCAAGGGCCCTCAGCACAGCGCCAACGAACTCCAATCCCCCCTCACTGGTCTGGCATGGCACATCAAACAGCAATCCAAGCACTTCAGTGGATAATAAATATCTATATCATCAAATAGAACTGCCCGGTAAACCGTAGACAGAGAGGGATAAGAGGACAACAAACGAGGGGCCGTGACAGACTGGCTCGTCAGAGTTTCACAGACTCGTCAGGAGGACAACAAACGGCGGGCCTGGAAAAAGAAAACAAGGGCGGGGCTTTGGTAAGTCGGCCCAGAGTAAAGGCTGATTGGCGTGGAGGTGGGGGGTTTCCATTATTGTGGCTTTGCCGGAATTTTGGTTTTTCTTTGTTCTTTTCTAACTTTTCTTTCTTTTTCATTTTTTTTAGCTTGGCTTGAGCAGCAGGACAGGAGGGTCGAGTGCTGGTGAATTCTTTTCCCGCGATGTTGGGTGTTCTTTGCTGTGATAATTGAAGTCCATGGAGACCTGATTTTTGTATTTGTTTACTTGTATACACTCTGCAGAGTCCCCTGACTGATGATACCGAAAGTGATAATCCACTATAGATAGATAGACAGATAGGGAGTGCATATTACAGCAACTTTCGCCTTTACGGCGAAGTTTACACACATTTACTTTGCACTTTATTTATGACCTTTTAACTTTACCTTTTATGGTCGTTTGACTTTACCCTTTACAGCCGTTTTCTGCCCATTTATTATGCCAACCTATACTCAAATAAATTGTCAAAAAGTGAAAACAAGGGAAGGAAGGAAACAGTTTCTCCTGCCAAGGCGGCAAATTGAGAGAGCTCTGAGAAGTCAAAAACAAACCAATAGAAAACCAGGACAAGATACAAAGGGAGAAAAAGACACGAGAAAGCTGAGAAAAAGAAGAAAATGGCATGGCCTGTGTTCCACGTAGACAGCAAAAGAGAAATGCCAAAACCAACACAGAATGAACCTGCACAGCAGTATGTCCTGGTGCACACCACAGAGCTGGCCATCCACCCAACCCTGGACAGCTTCCTTTTTTGAGGAAGGCCAAGGGGGAAGGAGGGTTGACTTAACATATGCCTCCATCGTACTCTGTAAATGGGCTTGTTTGTGGGGACATAGTTCCAGCAGTATGTCCCGGAGCATATCACCAAGCTGGCTACTACATCTTGAGATGCACTCTGACAGAGGCATTTGTGGAAACAAGGAGAGGGTGCGGAGTGCGCACACATTTGATGGAGGAATTGAGAACTTGGCGTTCGGTGCTGTTCAGATTTGCCAGACTTACAATAGCGAACTTGATTGGACGCAAATCATTAAAACGCATTTCTCACACCAAGCTTGTATTGGAGAATCTCATTAGTGCACTTGATTTAACTGAGAAAAAAAATCTACATCCACCTGCACTTCCTTCTTGCCCTGAGCAGCCAGCAACAATCGGCTGCAATGACCCACACAATCGCAGTCTGAGATTTATTCAGTTTGTAACTTTCATGAGTTTTTCTTTTTTTTCTGTACTTTTCTTTTTATAAGAGGAAAGTATGTTCATGTCACATCACAGTTTCATAGCGGAAAAAGAAAACATGCGTTGGCAAAGAAACCAGGCGCGAGTTCAAAAAGGGCAATGAAAGTACTGCGGCCGTGCTGTCAGATGGGGAAAGAAAGAAAAAAGGGCCCAACACGGGCCAACAGATATTTTTCGACCGAAATTCCCATTTCCAAGTCTCCACGTGATTTCTGTGCCGGCATGTGCTTTTTAATTTTTTTTTGCCTTTATGAACTCGAAACCTTCCGCAAAACCTGCCGCGTCCGCCGTTGTTCTTTTCATTAGAAAGCTGTCTTCTCCTCTTCGGGGGACAGCTGTAGCCATTGATCTTTTGACACAATACGACAACTGCCTTCGGATATCACCTTGAGAGTTGAAACTGACCGGCCCAAGGTAATTCAGAGTTATTTTGCTCATCTGAGTCAATAGGGATTCCAACTGAGGTCTGTAATTCAACAGCACACGGGTGTACAAGCTGAGCTAGGCCCGTTGGTGCTGAGATTTGTGAGTTCAAGTCTGTTCTGTTGTGTTAGTCTGTGGGCTCTTGTGATGATGCATGTATGCCCATGTGCTTCTTCTGTTTGCCTGACATACTGTGATTTCCGAGTTCGAGTCCGTTTTGCCGGTGAGATTTAGACTTTTCATCTAGACTACCAGCCGGGCCGCCCGGATCACCTTGTTTGCCCAGGCGGCCCGGCAGCTGCATCTAGCACATTGATCGTTTGATGTCTCTGTCGGCTTGCCAGCGACGTGGAGGGAATAAGGTGGCATCGGGGGTTGCAATGTGGAGGAAGTAAGGCAGCTCCAGGTTGCAACGTGGAGAGGCAGGTAGCATTGGGTTGCCAACCACGTGGAGAGAAAGATAGCATCGGGCTGCCACATGAAGCCTTACCCAGCAAAGGACTGACTCTCTCTCTCTCTCTCTCTCTCTCTCTCTCTCTCTCTCTCTCTCTCTCTCTCTCTCTCTCTCTCTCTCTCTCTCTCTCTCTCTCAAGCGTGCGCGCACACGCAGAGAGAGAGTTTTGCCACCGGGACGGCTGTTTGAATGCAGCCCGATGGCGCATTCAAACAGCCGTCGCCATTTGCTCGCGTTTCCTCTCCTGGCAGCCCTCCAGATCGAAAAATCCTGGAGGAAAAAACTACACGTCGGGACTTTTCATTCTGGGCGGGAGGCAGGCGACTGTGCCCAGGTAAGTTGGCACACCCATGAACTGTTGAAATTTAGACCCAAGTTCGAACCCGCAGCGGATCAGACCTGCGGCCTCAAAATGAAACAAAAGGGGATCTTGCCGTGACGCTCAAGAAAAAAGAATTGCGGCGTTGTACATTTCCCAAGAACAGGGGAAGTGCTGTATCTTGTGTGCCAAACGGAGCCTCAGGGCTCCCGACACGCCCACAGACAAGCAGAAACAGGCAGGCCTTGAAATATGGGGTCAAACAGGCCCTGGAAATGGCCCCGGCTGACAGTTGACCAAAACGCCAACAGTTAGCTCGTGGACACAGACCCAGATCTGGGAAGAAAGTCAACAAACAAATCTGGAATGATCTAACAGTGGTCTGCAGGTACCGGAAGATTCAGGCCTCAAGGAGTCCAGACCGAAATGGGGACAAATCAGATGATCCGGGCCCTCACATGGACCGATGTCGACCCTGGACAGCGCGAGTCGACACTACAAAAGGTTGACCTCGCCACTGCTTGGGCATTCAGTCTTACGAATTACTTGCGGCTACGACGCTACGCATGAGACCGAAGAGGAGATGCTGGGGCCAGACTGCTGGATGTGCGCCAGCCAGGTATCATAGTAGTGAGATAGGGAGAGAGAGTGGCCACGGCCGCGGCCATAGATGGTGGCGAGGGAACGAGGAGAGCGAGAGAGAGAGTGTGGGTGTCGTAGTCATCGTGCGGACGTACCTGTTTCTTCAGATGTGAAGCTGCTGCCGATTCTGCTCGATGCTGGAGGATATCTGTGAGGGGTTGCTTCCACATCGTCCACGTGTTACACAAAGTGCTGACATGGTACATTGAGTGCATATTGCTGACGTGGCACAATGAGTGCATATTACTGACATGACACATTGTGTGCATATCGCTGGCATGGCATATTGTTTACGGAGTGCTGACATGGCACGTTGAGTGCATATTGCTGACGTGGCGCATTGAGTACAGATTGTTGTCGTGACAGAGGTGGGGAGCCTGAAGGACAAGAGGGCATTACATTCTCCTTCCAACTGTCTAATCTCCCCACCTCTCTTCTTTCTGGATACTATGGACTTTGAGACATACACGTGGTACTGAGGAAACCTGTACTTTAATGGTTTTGAACTGGCGGACTTATTGGATTGATTATCTCACGACATTGCACAACATTGTTCTGCGACATGATTGGATGACGAGACTGAGTTCATTACAGAAGGTTCATTCTCATTTCGCACATTTAGTGAGCGTGCAGTGAGGCCCACAGATGCAAATCCAAAAAAAGCAAAATGTAAGGAATATGAGCGAGAGCGATATACAGAAAACGAAGTTGCAAAATCACGCAGAAGTCCAGGTAGTCATGTAACCAGCGGAGAGCTCAAATGCACCAAGATTCCATCCAAATAAGAGCAATGCAATGAACTCGTGAGCCGTGTCCAAACCCTCAGGCCACACCAACGCAATATTCAATGTCGCTCCTATTGTCTGGTGCCCAGCGCCCCAGCCTAGGATAGGTAGGATGAGCTAGAGTAGGCTGGGGCGCTGGGCGCCAGACAATAGGAGCGACATTGAATATTGCGTTGGTGTGGCCTGAGGGTTCATGCAACAGGCTCACTTCGACTTTGAAGACCAATGTACATGTCGTCAACACCAATGCCGACCTCCCACGTACACCAGTTACGTACTCTCGACTCCCCTCATCACCCTTGTCCACCCACACATGTGCCTCCTTTGAGAGAAGGTTAACAACAGTCGTATTTTTCATCACCACTTCAAGACACCCTTCACCACTTCGGGATGCAGCCTGCCCAAACAGGTGGTTTTCAGGGTCTTTGGACCTTTCACCACTTCAGGACACCCTTCACCACTTCAGGATGCAGCCTGCCTAAACAGGCGGTTTTCAGGGTCTTCGGCCCTTTCAGCACTTCATGACCATTCAGTATTTTCAGACTGCCCAAAACTCTCACTTCACCACTTCAGGATGCAGCCTACCTAAACAGGTGGTTTTCAGGGTCTTCGGACCTTTCAGCACTTCAGGACCATTTGACTATGTCGTGATCCAGCCCGACCCTGCGCGTTTTCGGGCATCTATCAACGATGTGCGAGAAAAGCGACTTAAAATACGTCGTAACTGGCCGCGCACAACGATTTCAACTGGCCGAAAGAGTGTGGGAACAGAAAACATAATGAAGGGCCGAGGCGCACCTTGGACCCAATAGGAAAAGAAAGAAAAATTGCGTTGGTATATCTGGAGGCCTTCCTTTTTATTTTTTATTTTTTATTTTTATTTTTTCCCCCCCCCTTGCGCAGGGCACCAAAGGTTAACAGGGGCTTTTGCCTTGGGGTTTAAGGCCCCTTTCATCAATTTTTTTTTAATTTTCTTTTTGTTGTTGGTTTATTTGGTGTCCACTCTATGGACTGGTGACAAGTCTGGCATAAAAGGTACGTTTGTTACAATGACCCTGAAAAAATCCTGAAAATTTAGGGCTCTATTAACCTCTTCTCTCCTTGTGAGGAATGTGCCCTCAGGGGCCCCTAGACAGCATGCACATGTTCTAGACTGTGGCCCCCAACCAGCCTCGTGCCCGCCAAAGTGAAGGCGGGCCTGAATATCCACAAAAGGCCCTTATCTCACATTTTCCAAAAAGGGTCTCAGACAGTTGCTGCACGCCAGTTGCTTGAAGTGCAACCTGGGCCTCATGTTGGGCTCTTCCAGAAGAAGCAGCTGCGCCAGGCAGTTGAGCCCAGGATGCAGGTGGTTGCGCCGTGGGCACACACAGTGTGAGGCCGACACATCACAAAGTGGCCATGGGCCAATGAGAATGAAGCATTGTCGTCACATCTACCCAGCGGGCCAATGCAAATACAGCAAACATTCGGGGACTGGAAAAAGGCTGGGTGTGCCCAATTGCATAGGGCCCAGGCCCTCAACTGTAGACATGGGCCCGGGTGCAGACACTGGGGCCCAACCAGAAGCTACTGGAAACTTCCAAGGCCAAGCCCAGATAGTGCAGAAGCAGCAGCGACTCCCATATAGGGAGGAGGACGGCCAGTGTTCGACATTTTGGCCGAGGCAGGCATTGGGGACACGCTGCTGTGATAGTGCGCAAGTGTCTGCATGCGCTAGCTCTGGCGCTGAGTGGTGTGGGGCGCTGCAGGGCAGCGGGGCGCTAGCGGCCATAGCCGGGCTGCAGGGCGCGAGGGGATGATAAGCGACGGTGATCTTCAGGCACAAGCGGTTAACGGGTAGCTGAAAATTCAGGAATGAAAATTCTGAAGTGAGAGTTTTGGGCAGTCTGTTACACCCCACCTACCATTACACCCGACCGGAAGAACTTTAACAGAAGGTAGTAGATGGCCTTAGTGAACTGAGCATACATACTACAAAATTGCTCTACTAGGTGCCAGAGAAAAGTACGCAACATCTGAGCATCCGATTTACGTTTTCTTCTTCTTCAGACATGTTCTCAGTGATCGACATCATCGGTGTGCTTCAACACCAACTTATCAAGGCCTGACAGCACTCTGTTGACCTTTCTTTATTTTTTTCTTTTTTTCTTAAGCGGGTAGGCTGGGTTGCCCCTACCTTTATTTTGTGGGAGGATAAGAACACGTAAAGTATTTATACACAGTTACATGTGTATACCATTCAGCCACATGGCTCGGCACTATGTTCATCATTTAATTATACCCTGTGCTCATTCTTACTCCGTGCACCGTTGACGCAATGCAAGTTACAACGCAATAAAATGATAATAATTCAGGTCTATGAAGGCATTCACATTCACAAAAAACGAAAGAAAAAGAACCACATTCTTTACCCTCTCTACACTGCATTTGAATTTTGAAGCCATTACTTTACCGGTTCGGGAAAGGCTCTCCGATGCCTGCCTATCTAACGACGGCTATTTTTGCAGTCATTGTTCAAGTGTGCTTTTGATTGAGAGTGGCAATAACGTGGGAAGTCGGTGGATTGTATGCAGAAAAGAAAGCAATTCAATGACATGCGCATTGGAACCACTGTAAGAGGATGCATTACATCCGGCTCAGCAGACACTTTGAGTCCGAAACATCGTTCATGACAACATCCGTTTTGCTTCTTTGGTTTGGAGAGGCTCCCCAGCACTTCCTTCTGGCCGTGGCTATGACAACATTAGGTCCTGAAACATTGGTGAAAACTATTATTACATTTTGTGTCTTCTGCAGCGAGAGGGAAGTGCTGAAAACCCTACTCTGGGATTTATTGAGACATACCATTGCAGGAATAAGCCGTTCGTTGAGCATGTTATTGAGCGTGGGCAGAACCAGACTGACTGTTTCCATTGAACTACAGGCAAGATTGGACAGTGCCTGAAGGGCAATATCCACATTCTGCATGTGAGCAGCATCCGCCTCTGTGTCTTTTGCTTTCTCCACCACTCCCAATAAGCGTTTTACGGCCATGGTGACAAAGTTTTCCGCGCTTCGGACCATTCCCCACTTTTCCAGCTTCGTGCTCCCCTTCTCAAAGTCAACCAGTGCGTCGCTGCAGAGTTTTGCCAGCTTGGCATCACATTCGCGTAACGATTGTCTGTCTTCCAGGCTGTCATCCCCTGCCAACTTGCGGCCAAGCACCAAGTCCACTAGAGTTTCTGCAATACGGTGCTGTGCATCCATCCATCCGTAGAAGAAGGGGAATGTCCCCAGAATTCTCAACCCATTCACTGCAAATGAACAGATCAATAAAAACAAGACACAAATGATTCTACGCTGTCAGGGTTCAAGCCTTGAAGGTGCCATCTGATCAATCTGACGGTTGCCCCTGGGGTTGAGGGGTAGGTCACATATAAACACTTGTTAGAGATGAAAGAAGGAAACATGGCCATGAAACAGATCGAGACAGTTCGGAGCAGAGCTACTATCCGGCTAACCCCCTCAGTCCAGACAGTCATGCACAATACATTCCTTTCCCCTTTTGACCCATTCATGCAGTCTTATTCCCCCCCCTCCTCCAATTCACACCCACATGAGCCAGGTACTCACCTGCAACACTCATTGCCGAGTCCACAGCGTTGCCTTCCTCTGTCATGCTCCCACCATCACCCTCACCACACACCTCTGCTACTCTGATGAAGATATTCAGCAGCATCTTAAATACCCCATCATCAATGACCATCACCTCGCCCCAGCAGAGTACATTGTAATCAGAATTCGGTATCAGCTCAGCCGCATCCCAGACCGTTTGCCTCACCGATTCCAGAATTATGTTCACAGCACTAAGAGCAAGCAATGCACCACGTTTTCCCTGCGAAAGGGAGTGATAAGGATCGACAGCGCCACCAAACACTATGATTGTGCTTGCAGAGGAATCTGGACGGGTGCCTGCATCACTGGTATCCACCACTGACCCAAAGATGCTCAGCTGCTGCTGCTCAACTATGCTGAGTGCTTCAATCCCTGACTTCTCATCCTCCACAACATCGACAGCAGAGCAGGGAGAGGGAGAGAGAGACAAGGAAGGACCCCGCACTGATGCATCCCATCCCCCAGCCTCAAGCAACTTCAGGCAAACATCATTCGCAATAGACTTCGCTGTCGTTGGCGATACCCTCACAAGTGCGGCAATCAAACTGCTGCTTGCGAGAACTTTCTCTTCTCTCTCACTGAGTTTACCCTCCATAGGTTTATGCTGTCCACTCGTTTCTCCATCCTTCGCCCCCACTGACGAACCCTCATGGGCTGCCTCCTTCACACAAGCATACATCTCGTTGACAAACTGGTCCGCCATCACCAAAGCAACAAGCTCGTTCCTTTCCTGATCGTCGTAGACAGCACCCATGATTTCTGAGATGTCCTCGATTTTGTCCAGGGCTCGAGCAGACTCTGTCAAGCACGCGAGTGCAGCTTCTCGTACAGCCTCATCCTTCGCAATATCCACACCACGTGGAATCATTGCATCTTCCATCTCTTGAGCAGTCAACGGTAGAACTTCTTTCCGCAGGACAGTCCACAACTTCAAAACATGAGGCAGAACGGCGGGACGGCCGTACCTTTTCCAACACTGCTCGAGCAACCGCAGGGAGTCCAGCTGAGGTAGAAACAAAGACCAGAAGAGAATGCATACCGTCTCAGAAAGCGTGTGAAGCGGCCAAGCCTGTCATGTACCATTCCGGCTCTGACTCTGACATAAATGCCCAAAGCCCTCCTCCCCCACCCCCCACCCCCAGCCACCAGCAGACCAACCAAACCAACCCATCACGACATGCAGAATGTCCAAACCTCCATTTTCTCTCTGAAAGAAATCCGTGAGGCAATCCTTCACAGCATTCAGCAAGGCACTTCACACTAAGACTCGTCATCTTCAACCACAAAAGCACCTTCACAAAGCTCAGAAGCATCAAAACATGAGTTTCGCACGAGTACGACATGTTGGAGCAGCGCGGGTGTTACATGCCAAGTTGGGCGATGTACATATATAACCGAGGATCCGCAATGTGATGAGAAGGACTGAATGGACAATGCAGTGCTGGTGAAATCTCAACAAGCAGTGTACATCCTGATACATACAAAAATGGTGCTTTACAGCGCAGTGGAAGACTTGGATACAAGTCCTGACCTGACCGGGACTGACCTCTCTCACATAGTGCAAGATAGCGCAGCAGGATGCTAGAATACCAATGACTAGCCCAATCAATGTTGCAGTACAGACCAAACATACATCATCCTCATCACAAGGTGCGAAGGGGCCTGGCGCTACCCACAGGAAGAATGTGCCAGGTCCAGTCCATACACAGACGAAGAGGAGGGGAGCAGACGAAGAAGAAGGGGGGAGATGGGAATGTTGTCAACACCAAGTCTTCGTTACAAGTCCCAGATAATCCCTCGTCAAATGTCTGAAGCCCAATGTCGAGTCTGGATCCAAATGTCACCAAGCCCGCTCTCTCATAGTCTGCTGATGCAGTGAAGTCAGGTAGCGAGAGGGTGAGAGGGCGATGGTGGACTGAGAAGAGGAAGAAGAAGAAGTCTCTCTCTCTCATGTGCCAGGTACTAACCTGTGAAGATGGCGCAGTGCTGCAGGTACCTCGAAGGCGAAGCTGGAGCTATGGCGCTGCAGGTAAGTCTCCCTGGCCTCCGCCCAATCTATCTCTCTCTAGTACTAGTCTAGCTCCTACTAGCGCCCAGCGCTGAAGACTACTGCTAACGCTACTAGCGCCCAGCGCTGAAGACTACTGCTAGCGCTACTACTACTCCTGCAGCGCTCCTCCAGAGTGCTGCTGCCGAATCCTGAAGACAACCTCCTGCCTCCTGAACTGCACGTGAAGTGCCTGGGAAGTACCCAGGAACTACCTGCAGCCTGCAGGGCGGGCCAGTCCTATATAGTGCTGGCCCGTCCAGGAGGCTGCTCTTGCCATTGCCAAAACGTGCCAGACCCTGGCTTTGAAGCTCAACCAAAGGTTGTCTTGAAAACAGGCCCAAAATGGCCTGTGCTAAAACCCTGGTCTGGTGCCTGAGTTTCAGGGCAGGTCGATCTTATGAGGGCCTGAAAATGGCCCTCAGTTTCAGGCTGAAAAGACTCAGGGCCGGAAAGGCCCTGTTTTAGGCTGAAACGACACAGGGCCTGTAGGCCCTTGTTTTCGGGCTTTCAGGCTGAAACGACACAGCGCCTGTAGGCCCTTGTTTTCAGGCTTTCGGGCTGAAAATGACACGGGCCTGAAAATGGCCTGTGCAGCCTTTTGCAGGCGCAGAATGTAACAGCGGGTATGACATGTCCAAGACTAAGGATGTGCAGAACTATACCTGCATCAATTTGATGGGTGCCGAGTAAGAGCATCAACCACAAAAGCACCTTCACAAAGCTCAGAAGCATCAAAACACACAAGAGAGAGAGAGAGAGAGAGAGAGAGAGAGAGAGAGAGAGAGCATCCTAAGAGGTCCAAGACTAAGGATGTGCAGAACTATACCTGCATCAATTTGATGGGTGCCGAGTAAGAGCATCAACCACAAAAGCCCCTTCACAAAGCTCAGAAGCATCAAAACACACAAACAAGCATAGAAAACTAAAAATAGTCCAGTGAACACAATTATCAATGTTGAATCCAACTGCAGTGTACATGTTATAGGGTTCATGCCATCATATCAAAAGACGACCAAGAAAAGAACAAGGGGAAAAAAAAAGAATTTGTGAGTATGAGGGGTGGGTGGGATTATGAGAACCAGTATATGGGGCAATGCTTCCACAAAACAATCAGAAAACACAGGGGGGGGGAGAGAGAGAGAGAGAGAGAGAGAGAGAGAGAGAGAGAGAGAGAGAGAGAGAGAGAGAGAGAGCAGCAACTTCCACCACGAAGTGTCAACATGCCTCTCGGTCTTTGCAATGCCCCTGGCACATTCCAGACTGAGATCCTCATCGAGTTCAGCAGGGGACATCCTGTAGATACGGCCCTTGGGAGGGACCGCACCTGGCAGGAGCTCAGGAGACAGTTTGAGACCCTGACCAGCAAGGGCTGGATCAGACCTAGCACACCTGAATTTGGGGCTCCAGTTCTCTTTGTTGCAAAGGGAAATGGAGAATTCAGGATGTGCGTCGACTACAGGGGTCTCAATAAAATCACTAGGAAGTCTACAGAGCCCCTTCCTAGGATTGACGATCTGCTGGATATGGTGCAGGGTTGCACAATCTTCAGCAAGATAAGACCTCAAATCTGGCTACCACCAGATTGAGATGGCTGAAGGCGATGTCCACAAGACAACATTCAAGACCAGATACGGCACCTATGAGTACCTGGTCATGCCTTTCGGTCTTGGCAATGCCCCTAGCACATTCCAGACAGAGATGGATCACATACTCAGGCCTTACCTGGACAGGTTTGTAGTTGTATACCTAGATGATATCGTGGTATTCAGTCGATCTGTCGACGAGCATGCGCAACATCTGGCTCTGGTTCTCCAGGCACTACATGAGGCCCAGTATAAGATCAACAGGGAAAAGTCCTCCTTTAGACTGACTTCTACGACTTATCTGGGACATGTAATCTCTGGGGAAGGGCTAGCTCATGAAGCAACAAAGGTTGCTGCGATTCAGGACTGGCCACAACCTACCACAGTGCGTGATGTCCGGTCATTTTTGGGTCTTGCATCATATTACAGAAAGTTCGTTAAGAATTTTTCTGCTATTGCTGCACCCCTGACTGATCTCACAAAGAAAGACACCCACTTTCTTTGGACATCAGACTGTCAGCAGGGTTTCACACGCTTCAAGGAGGCCTTGATGTCTGCACCTGTTCTGAAGTTACCTGACCCTACCTTGCCCTTCGTACTAACTACTGATGTTAGCCAGAATGGGGTTGGGGCGGTACTTCTGCAGGATGGTGGGCATGGTCTGCAGCCGGTTGAGTACATGAGTCAGAAGATCAAAGTAAAGAAGTTGCAAGATTCCACGTACGAGAAAGAGCTATATGCTCTAGTGTCAGCGCTAAAGCATTGGAAGCATTTCCTCATGGGCAGGCACTTCCAGATCTATTCAGATCGTCGAGGTACACAACAATAAACTTGTCCAAGTAGTCATGAAAGATCCTATTCATCGCATGCTGGAACGTACCAGGCGCATTGCATAGGCCAAAAGGCATCACCACAAACTCGTACAGACCGTACCTGGTCTGAAATGCGGTTTTGTGTTGGTCCTCAGGCCTAACGGCAATTTGATGGTATCCGGACTTCAGATCTATCTTTGTGAAGTACCGACATCCCTGCACTCTATCCAAGAGGTCGTCAATGCGAGGTAGGGGCTCCGCGTTCTTAAC